AAAAGTGTTACTGCTGTAATTTCTCTCTTAGTGAGTTTGTTGTGTACATGAATGCTATTGATTTTTGAGCACTGACTTTGTATCCAGCTACACGACTGAAATTTGCTTATTTACTTTAGGAGTCTTTTCATGGGGGGTCTTCTATCTAGACTATCATGTCCTCTGCAAATAATGATAATTTAACTTTTTCCTTTCCTAATCATATTCCTTTTAGTTCTCTCCCTTGTCTAACTGCTCTAGCTAATGTTTTAAAAACTATATTGAATAGTAGTGATGATAGTGGACATCTTTGTCTTTATTATTTTCGAGTGAAAGCTTTCAGGTTTTGTTCATTTAGTATGATATCAGCTATTGGTTTGTCATAGATGGCTTTTATCAGGTTGCAGTAGAGATAATCTACTCTGATATTCTACAGTTTTCATATGAACAAGTGTTGGACTTTATCAAAAGATTTGTCTGGATCTACTGAGATGATCACGTGATTTTTGTCTTTTGCTCTGTTGATAAGATGTATTACATTTATTAATTTGTGTATGCTGAACTATCCCTACATTCCTGGGATGAATCCCACTTGTTCATGTTGTATAATCTTCTTGATAATGTGCTGCATTCTGTTTGCCAGTATTTTATTAATAATTTTTGCATTTATGCTTATTAAGGAGATTGGCCTATCCTTCTCCTTTTCGGTTGAAATTTCCTCTGGTTTTGGCATAAGAATAATACTTGCCTTCAGGAATGAGTTAGAGAGAATTGCTTTCTTTTCAATTTCATTAAAGAGTTTGAAGAGTACTGGTGTTAAATATTCTCTAAATTTCATGTCAAATTCAGCCATAAATCCATTAGGACCTAGGCCTTTTATTTTATTATGTTTTCAATTTCATGTTTCTTTTCTCTAACAGTTTTTAGTATTCTGTTTTGGTGCTGCATTTCTGGAATCTTGATTACTTATGTCTGAGTATAGATTTATTTTGATATTGGGTTTTTGGAGTTCTATATGCTTCCCTTATCTGTACATCAGATTCTTTTCCCACACTTGGGAAATTTTCTGCTATTACTCCTACAAATAACTTTTTTAAAATGTCATTTGCACTGACTCCTGCATTTTCATTTACCCCTATCTGTCTTATTTTTCTTTGCATTGCCTTGGAGCTGTTGAATTGTTATTTCATGGTCCCTTGTTAGTTTTAAGAGATCTTTCCTTTCGTGACTGCTAGCCACAATCCTGTCTTCAAGGTCTGAACGTATAGTTATAGTTTCAGTTTCAGTTTAGTCAGTTTTAGACAGTTTTGCCAGCTGTCAATGGAATTTTTGATTTCCTGGATATCTCTTTGAATCCAAAGGGTTAGAGGAAACAATCTCCAAAGGTCAAACATGCCCAGAAGTACTTCACACTGTCACCAGCAGAAAGATACAGAGAAAAAGGATACAATATATATATATATATATATATACACACACACACACAATCAAAGATAAGAATAACAAAATTGTTATCAGGAACAATTTAAGACAAAATAGAATAAAAGAATTTAAGTACCAAGAGAAAGAACAAAATAGGTTCATGTAGAATTCCATATTTAATCAAAATATATTTCAAAATATATTTCAATATATGTCAAAATATATTTCAATATATTTCAAAAATGAAGACAAAATAAGGATTTTTCCCCTCAGGTGTACAAGAGGTAGAAGAAGTCATCACCAGCCCATGCAGACTACACAAAATATAAAATGAATGCCTAATGGCAGAGAGAAAATGATACCAAAAGAAAGTACAGATTTATTTTAAAGAGAGAAATGAAAAAGAGAAGGGATGTTTGTCAGTGAAAAAATATGAGAACCATCAGGCCTGGCTAGATTCTAGGCTGTTGGCTGATAACCAGAAAAAACTTTGAACGGTTGAGTCATCCTTTTCAGAACAGGGAACAATCTTAGTAAAAAAGAATGAACAGTACATTTAATAAAAAGTAGATTTAAAATCCAATCTGAAGGACAATTAGATAAAAAAAAACAACGAAATAAGATGTAACTTCAGAAAGAGATAATAAAGCATCTAAATGAAATGAAATAGTTGAAGAGAACTAAAAAGATCACTGAGGGCTTACGAGAATATCAGAAATAACAGAAGAAAGAATATAGATAGTTAAAATGGAATTGCTAGTGAATTAAATTTTTGAAATGCCCTGAAAACAGAAATATAAAGGTAAGAGAAAAAATTATTTTGGTGGCCGCAAGTATTGAACTCCAGGCCTTCATACTGAACTACATCCTCAAACCCTTTTTCTTTATTTTTTTTTTTTTAATCTGGGACAGAATTAGAAGCAAGTAGATATGAAAGCTGGAGAGAAGTAATCTAACAAAGATAACTGATGTCCTTCAACTAGAGTATAAAAAATAGGAAAGAATAAAAATCCTTGGAAACCAGAAGAGTCTACAAATAATAAATACATAGATTTCCCAGAAAATTTATTTAGAACATACTGTAATAAGGTACATCTTATTTAAGACTTTGAATATTAAACTGTAAAATGTACATCTTCAGGAACATACTTAGCAAAACCAAATTACATCCAAAGCAGAGGGATAGAAGGAGGATCAGACATCACTCCATAACACGTCACAGCAATTATTCATCATAAAAATTAATAACATCTAGAAAATTCTGAAGAAAACAAAATGTGGCCAAATAAAATTATACCCATCAGCTTATCCCCTAAATATAAAGACAGTTGATAAATACTCTCAAACATGTAGACTCTCACAATTTGGCTCCTTTGATTCCTCTTGAAAAAAATAATACTTTCAATTGATTTGGTAACTAAAAAACACATTAAAAACAAAAAAAAATTAGATAAAAATGCCATGATTTTAAAAACTGAGTACCGAATCAAGGATACATAGTAAAAAGATTAACATTCAGGGAATCAGTATGACTGTGTTATATACACTTATAGGGCCTTACATAATTTTTAAAAACATAATTTAGTTAACAAATTGAAGATATAGGGGAAGGAAAATGGAAAGTTTTATTAAAATGATGGCATTTTCAGCTACATAACAAGACGCTAACTTTAAGATGCTAATTTTTAATGCTCCTAAAATTTAAATACAGAGGTACCTCGATTCAAAAACACTTTTGTTTGCAATCTGGATTACAAACAAGCATCATTTCATTTTTGTTTGCAAACTCTGCATTAGGTGACAAACAACCATAGCGATCTTTCCCATACAAACACAAACATAGCCATCTGTTCCAAAATTGTAGAACAAATTAAGTTCATTAACTGAGTGAGGTACCAAAGTACTTTAAAAATAGTAGTTGTACCTTCAATGTTTTTGTAACATTTATATTTGAATGCAGAGGGAATTTTTAGAAATTAGGATCTCTCAAATTGATGAAATATTTATCTAAAGTTAAACAGCTCACTTTTCTTTACCTCAACTTTCTTTTTAGTTAGTTAGCTTCAAATACATATAATACAAGTATTTCTTAAAATAGCACCTATTGGGATACCCCTTTTAAACAATTAATTTATCTAAGCTTTCCATGTACTGTAAAGAGGTTATTGTGTGGTAATTAATATTAAATTTTGAGTTTTAATTGGTTGTGAACTAGCTTTTGTATTACTTAAATGTTTACATATTGATAATGAAGTTATTATTTTTTAAGTAATCAAAGAATAAAGTCTTCGAAATACCAATATTTAACAGGTAAATAGAAATTCCAGTGGAAAAGACTGAGAAGATACAGGAAACAGTAGGAGAGAATAATGGTAAAAATAATGTTTCAGAAGCCAATAAGGAAGTAAGCTTAACATATCACGAAATTTACAGGTGTAAAATGAAAGGGTTAAAATATAGATTTTGACAAGTCACTAGTGACCTAAGTAAAAGTAATAAGAGTAACAACCAGAAGAGGAATGTTACAGTCATTACTTAAATGTACCTCAAAAGGTCCTCTGTGTTTAAAGGCTTAGTTACCATTTGACAAGACTATCAACAGTTTAAAATTCGGTGCCCTTTTAGATGACGACAGAAACAGGAATTTGGTCTGTTTGAGGAATAGATCACAGAGTATAAACTTGGGTTCTAGTTCTTCACTCCTCCTCCTGGACTCATTTCTCTTTCTGTGTTTCCTGGCTGCCCTGAGGAAAGCAGCTTTCCTCTGCTAAGCCAATCTGCTGTGATGTTCAGCCCTGCCATAGACCCAGACCAATGCAGCAAACTGAAACCTATGAAACTACAGATCAAAATAAACCTTTCATCCTCTGAATTTGATTTCAGGTTTTTTGTTATAGTAATTAAGAAAAACAAACTAGTGACATATGGATATATTAAAGTAATTATTCAGTATAAATGGTCAGTGGCAATTCTTAAGCTGCAGCAGGTTAAATAAAAAATTCTATCATATCAAATTTACTTTTTCAAATGAAATACTGAGGTTGTATAATAAGTAAAGTACAAATATCTTGACTTTTAATGAAATAATCTTAGATTTGGAGCACTGTTATACTTCCTATAATAAAACAGATCTATGTTACTGGTCAAGGACCTTACAAATTTGAAGTTTTTCAAAGTTTCTTTTTAAACTAAGATTTTGATTCCAGGAAAGCAGATGAGAGCTAAATGATACCAAATAATAAAATGTAAATTCAAAAGAAAACATGAATGAATCATTAATGTTGAATGTAACTCTACGCTGTATTATCTATCAAACTATAAATGAACATTACAAGGAAAACTTTAAGTGATCAAAAAAGTGAGAGTCTTCTCTTCTCATCAAATTTCATTTATATTTTTATTAAATTATATGGCTTGCCCAAAACAGGAATTTTAGGTGTTTATTTGATTTTTCTCATGAAAGATAAAAATTTTAATAATTTAATAATGAGTGAAATGGTAAAGAAAGGAGGTAAGATAGCTAAGGGAAATTGAAACTAAAACTTCAAGAACTGGATAATTTAATATTTGTGTTAAATATGTATTTTCAAAAAAATTACCTTCTCTTTTCTCTGCTATATATCTATTCAATTCTTGTATTGTTGTTTTATCAATAGATATATGTATTTTAAGTTCATCCAATTGTTCTTGAAGATTCATCCTATGAAAAGTAAAGAAATAAAACAGCACGTAAACTATCTGAGTTGAGGAATATAGCAAAGAAATAAAATAGAAATATTTTAAAATACACAGAACTGAAAATGGTAAAATAAAAGCAAAATATATATCCATATTAACAGACTCTAAAAATTGCAATTAAATTTTAAAGAGGATGTAGATGTAGAGAGAAAATGTTTTAAGTAAATGATTTTTGTTAACTTTATTTTAATAAATTTTAAGTCTTTAAAATTTAGACAAAACAAGGTATTTTTAAAAAACCACGCACATAGTTGTCTCATCATTTAATAACTCACAGGTACACTCAATAAAAAGTAATAAAAATATTATTACATACCATTGAACGGAAACACAGTAAATGTCTGGATGCTAAATGAAAGCAAAGTACCTCTACTAGTATACTGCCACTGTGCTAACACAGTGAGTACTTGAACTGGATCAGATACTATGGAGAGTACCTTGCATAGTGAAATCTGAGTGGAAATGGGAATTTACAACCAAGACCCTACATGAAGCCATGAGACAAAACTCCTATTAACTACGGGAAGCTGGGAGACAAAAATTTGCTGGATGAAAAGCTGAATATCTGAGCTTATCTAGTCAGGGTTCCATAAAAAGAGCCCTCCTGCTTCACAGTCAGCTTGAAGAAAGGACAGAGTCAATCACATGAAGTCAGAATCCCAGCTCCTATTACTTAGTTCAAAACTGAGCCATACAGATTCACAGAAACAAAAAATCAGCAATAACATCAAAACTGGTGTATGGCTAGTATATAGTGGGAGACACCAACAAACACAATTCTCCTGCCATATTTGGATCTCAAATACCTCCCAGTATCCTGTGTGTTAAAGCTTGTTTCCTAGGCTGGTGTGGCTGGAAGGCAGTGGAATCTTTTGAGACTTGGGGCTCTGAGGTCATTGGGGCTATGCCTTGAAGAACACTGTGTGAGTCTGGCCCTTTCCCATTTCTTTTTCAATTCCGAGCCCTGAGATGAAACCCTTTGCTCCAACCATGGCATGCTGCCTCATCCAAGACAATAAGGTCAACTGATCACGGCTAAAACCTCTAAAACTATAACCCAAAATGAATGTTTTCTCTTTCAAAATGATTGTATCTGGTATTATATAGTGAGAGAAAGATGGCTAACATATATCCTCCAAAGGGAGACTCTCATAACTGAGAAGATGGATAGCACAAAGGCCACCACAAAAGTCTGCATGTCACACTTCTCAAAATATGAGAATACACAACAAGAAAAAGGCATAGTAGAATAATTCAAAATGATTTTTATTGAGCCGAGGATATAAATCAGTGGCACAGTGCCTTCCTGGCAAGCATGAGGCTCTGAGTTCAACTCCTGATACCAAAAAAAAATTTTTTTACAATTAATTTAAATTGTTTTAAAGGTAAAATATGACAAACATACTTTAAAAAAGAACAAGCATTAATGAAATAAAATCAAGTAAAATAACCAAATAAATCTCGGAATGCTAAATAAAACAATATAAACATAAACATAAAAATTGAATTAAAAATCAATGGGTGGATTAAATAGCATATACAAAAAGAAAAGAATGTGAAATGAAAGACTACATAAAGGAACAAGAGGAAAATAGTAGAAATTTATAAAGTGTGTTGGAATGAGAAGCCCGGAAAGCATTTGATATAATATTTTCAAGGAAAGAACTGACAAAAGGGCTAGGTGGGGTAGAGGCAATATCTTTCACATGTCGTGACTTACTATTCATAGATCTTAAATGACAGAATATATCTTAGAAAAAAACCTCAAAAGCAAGGTGTGAAACAGTAGGCAAAATTATACACAACACTAAATAAACATATACAATGTAAAGCAATCATAACAATATCCAAAAAGTGTTAAAGCTAAAATAAGGTAGAACTACAGTTCTAGACTACAAATAGTATAAGATCAAGGAAGAGATAAGAGTTAAAGCAATTAAGATTTTTGCACTGTAAGAAAATAGAAATACTGATGAATTTCAGACTGTAATATATATACATATATATAGGATGTACACTATAAGCTCAAGAATAATCAGTTAGCTGGCTAGGATATAGCACAATGGAATTGCCTAGCATGAGTAAAGCCCTAGTTTCAAAATTCAGCAATGAAAAAAATCATTTAAAAATGAAAAATATGAAATTTACTAAAAGGAGGTCATGACAAAAAGCAAAAAATGTAGCTAATAAAGTTGAAGGCATGAAAACCATTTTTAAACAAATATAAAAAATAAAATATAAGTTAGGCACAGTGGTATTCCCAGCTACTTGGGGTGGGGTAAGGCAGAACACTCACCTTAGTCCAAGAGTTCAAAGCCAACATGGGTAACAGTGAAATCCTGTCTCAGAAACACTACATAGAATAAAATACACACTAAGAACAAAGCCCAGTACTAAGAAAAAGGTAGACATTAAATAACAAAAGGACTGATTCACAAGGAAAATATATTAGTTCTAAGTTTTTATGTACTGACAATGTAATGAATAAAGTTGTTACTCTAAAAAATATGTAGTCTCTGACTTTCCTCAGAAAAAAATTGAAGTTTACACAGTTTCATGAGTGAACCTGCATTTCTGTTCATATATCATAAACATACATACACAAGGAATTTAAAGATTTATACATGATATTTACAATGGCAACTTCCCAGCAGGTCACATACTGATAAAACAAGCATATACACATGCACACACATACATTTAACTACATAATGGTTAAGTTTGGATCAGTCATCCTCATTTACTTAGTTAATAACATAGAACAATGTGGAACCACAAAGAAAAAGAAAATATAATTAATTCAGCTAGGATATAAAATATTAGAAAAAGTGTCAAACATTTAACCTCAATTGACTTTTTTAATATGAAACACTACACTCCAAGAGCAGCAAGACAAACACTCTTCAAATGCCATGAAACAGTCACTGGGAAAGAGCACATGCTAAACTAGAACCCAAAAGGATCTAAATAGGATAAAGCATCTTATATAACAAAAAAATCAGTACTAGAACAATGTCAGAAAAAAAACCTCAATATTTGAAATTAAAGAACCTGCATCTGACAAAGATTATCTATTTGCTCAAATTTCAGTCAAATCTTGAAGCCTCTCCTACATCCATCTGTGCATTTTCTTTGTAAGTTCCAGTTTTAATGAAGAACCCTAGTAAGTCAGTTTAGCAAGAACCTCTATTCCCCTAATATCCGACAACCCTCAAGATATGACTGGTTTCACATTCTCAACCACAAGTCAAGTGATGTCTAACCACACTGCTCATCCTGTTAGGTCAGTGTAGTCAATGTCCTCCTTTTCCCTGAGGTTTTCTCTCAGCATTTTTTCATCCATTGATCCCTACACTGATCATTGGCCATGAGTTCTCACCTGCCCAAACCACACGAAGAGTTAAATCCAATCTCTCTTGCATTGCAAAATCCTAAGTACTGTACCTATTGTTATGGTCCTAAATTAATCTTCCTAACTGTATATTAGCAAGTATCATTAAATAATTTTTTCTTTAATACTTCTAAATATGTCTTGAAGGAGAATCCAAAAGTTAAAAAAAAAATCTTTTTGAACTTATAAAACATGAAAACATAACATTTCAAAGATTATGAGTTGCAGCTGAAGCAGTTTTAGATGGATACCTATAGTGTTACACATATTCGAAAAGATCTACAATGATGTAAGGTTTACTAAAGAAGATAGCAAACTAAGATAATTCAAGTTGTAGACTCTTTCTCACATGCACTAGTCATCTAGATGTGTGCTTTTATGAAGTATCTATGACAATTTTTGGCTCATTTTTCTATAGAATAGTTGTCCTTATTTATTTGTAGAAATTCTTCATATATTCTGGGTACTAATCCCTTGCTGGAGATAGACACTGCAAATATTTTTGTCTCATTCTGAAAGTTGCCTTTTCATTCATTTAACAGTATCTTTCAATGAACAAAATTTCTTAGTCTTAAGATAGTGAACTTTAATGAAGAGGTCAGAAAGAATGATAAAATAGGGCAGGGGTACACTTCAGAGGTAGAATGCTTGTCTACCATATTTGAGGACCTGTGTTCAATTCCCAGCACCAATCAATCATTTCAGTGAAAATTATGCCACAGGTTTCTGGTTTCAGCAAATCTGTAAACCATGGTTAAATTTATTGAGACTTAAAATGCTACAGCTAGGTAAATCTGTAGGAGAAGAAGAATTTGAGTTTAGACCTGTTGTATCTGAGTGAGACATCACAGGGAGATACGTGGACATCTGGATGACACTACACTGAAGTATAAGGGGTTTATGTTAGAAAAGCAGGTTGTGGAAGTCAACTAGCAAGAGATGATAATTTAAGTTATGGGAACAGACATGACTATCACAGAAGAATACAAAAATTAAGTACACAGAAACGTTTTTTAAATCCAAAAACCTGTAACAGTATTCAGGAGGAAGAGCTGACAAAGGAGCCTATAAAGAAAGCCAGAGAGGCAAAAGAAGACCAGAAAAGAAAGGTGTTAGACAGCTGAAATAGAACACATTTTTGGCCAGGCATGGTGGGGCACTCTTGTAATCACAGAACTCAGGAGGCTGAGGCAAAAGGACTGCTGCACATTCAAGATCAGCCAGGGTTATTACAAGGTGCATTCAAGGCCAGCCTGAACTGTGATGTGAAACCTTTCTCAAAAAAAAAAAAAAAAAAAAAACAAAAACGAAAAAAACCATTTAAAACAGAACATAACAAACTTTGTTGAACAGTGGTAAGACATGGAGCAAGATATGAAGTATCCATTGTCTTTATTAAATAGCTTAACTAGATTTCTATGTTCTTGATTTAATCATCCTTAACAAATTAGTCTATTGATTACTATGGGCAAAATTTAAATAGTACCCCTCCAAACTCTTACGTTTATGTCCTCATCCTAAATGTGATGATACTTGTATATGGGACCTCTGAAAAGTTATTAACATTAGATACTGTTTATCCTCCATGCTATAGGGAATAGCTTTTTAAGACTAAACAGCATTCTCTCTGGTATGTGATGACACAGAAAAACTCATCTCCAAACTATGAGGTGGGTCATTTACAAGAAAGCTAATCAGTTAGAACCTTGATCTTGACTTCTAGCTTCCACAGCTATAAGAATTAAGCCACCAGTCAGTGGCATTTTGTTAAAGCAGTCTGGGATCACAAATGCATTATGATTCACAGCTCTTACTTTTTATTCCCCATGCATATTCTTGAATTGTCTACTTTTTTATAATGTAGTTTATACATATTAGAGCACTATAGTTTCATTTACCTAAAAAAAAATCACTACATCAGAGCATGCCTGTGTAATGAACAATCTATTTATTGGAATGTATTTAGTTACACATGTTCTTTGTTGCTTCTACAATAAGAATCTGGGTAATGTTACACAATGATAATGAAACATTTGAGTAAATATTTTATAAGCAATTTTAAATCTGTATAAAACTTTGTAATACACATAAGTAGGGAAGTATGGGGCTGGGGATTTAGCTCAGCAGCATAAGCGCCTGCCTTGCAAGCAGGCAGTCGTGAGTTGGATCCCCTGTAACGATAAAAAGGAAAAAGACAAAAAAAAAAAAAATTAAAATAAATAGGGAAGTAGAGGTTGGAGGGAATTTTAAAAAATGCTGAGAAATCAAAAGAGGAGAGGTACTATACTGACAATACCATGAGTTGACAGGGATATTGAGCAACTACACTCTCATGAATTCTTGGTAGGAATGAAAACAAGTTTGCTAATTTGGAAAACATTTTTCTGTCTAGATAAATATAGATAGGTACAGATATAGGTATAGGTACATGTACAGATATAGATATAGCATATGCTGTAGCAATGCAACTCCTGGGCATCTACTTTTTAACGAATCAAAACATTATGCTGACACAAAACCTGTGATAGCTGCAAAAAGAACTGACAATTGCACAAAACCAGAAAAGATCCAAATGTTCTTCAGTAGCAAGATAAACTGTGAAATATCCACACAATGGAAATCATTTAAAAATATGAAAGAAGAAACTGAATGGCTCCGACTGAATGAACCTTAAAGGCATTGTGCTGAGTGAAAACAGCCAGCCCTTGAAAAGTTACAGTCTGTGTGATTCCATGATTATGACATTCTGAAAAGGCCAAAGCCTCAAAGAGGGAGAACAAACTAATGGTTTCTAAGTACAGGGGTGATGGCAGGAGTGTAATACAAAAGAGCAGAACAAGGAAAATTTTTAAAGATTTTTTGTTATTCAAATGTACGCACATATTATCACTTAAAAACTGCACACCATAGGGTGGGGATACAGCTCAGCAGCTTGAGCTGCTGCCTGGCCAAGCAGAAGGCCATGAGTTAATCCCTGTACCACAACAAAAACAAGTTGCACACTAAAAAGTCGGTATGCTGAATAGAAATTTTGGAAAACAAAAATTTCTACTCTCATCAGTAAAGAAACTTTAATGAATAAAAGATTGATACTTCATAAGTCTTGTTTCATCATATTTTTGATATTAGTTCTATTTTTGACATATTTCCTTAATGATGTTAAATAGTAAATTGGTGTCCATGTATATGAGTAGATTTGTCTGATGTTCTCATTTCATTCACCAAGCAGAATGCCTGACACACAGCAGTGGTTCAAACACATTTATTAACTGAGTCAATGGGTCACAAAATAACCAAACCTTTCCCCAGAAACTTGTACTACATAATTTAAAGTATATTCAATGCTTTAAAATTCTTTATGGAAAAAATTCATTACCTCATATAAGGTTAAAACAGAGCTGAAAAATAACTTTTACAAATGGCTACCACAGTAATGAATTTGAATGGACAGAGGAAAATCTCCACAGCTTATTAATGTCAGATTTTACTCAAAGAACTATTTGTAACGTATAAACACTACTCGATGAACCCGTAAGGATTCTAAGAATTTCTTAACCTTCTTTGAAAGATCTATGTTGATTTTTATTTAGTTCTGTTTCATTAATGAATCAAACAAAATCCTAAAGCCATCATTATAGCTAATCTCTGCCTAAAATTTTTTTATTAGGTATAAAGCTAGCACATGAACTTTCATTTTAATTCACTTCACCCAAAATTAACTTCATCTTTTGGAAACAGAAGGTCATTAAAGATTACCAAAGAAAATTTTGATGTATGCCACAACATGGATAATAAACCATGCAAATATTATACTAAATGAAAGAACCTAATCATAAAGAACTATACATGATTCCATTGTGCAAGATGCTCAGAAAAGACAAATCTATAGGCACATAAAGTAGGTTAGTAAATAGTTACTTAAGTTTGGGAAGAGTGGATGGGAGGGAGCAATGTACCAGCTAAATTATATACATGTTTTTTAGAGAAAGGATTAAAATGCTCTAAAATCAACTATAATGATAACATGGTACACAACTCTTTAAATATATTAAAAGTCATTGAATTACCCTTTTATATGTGAATTATATGGCTCTTGAATTGTATTTACTAAAGATATTTAAAATTCCTAGAAAATGTTTCTGAGATAAATTTATATTGAAAAACTATTTTGATATAAGAGAACTCATTATTAGCATCAAATACTTAGCACTAACAGAACAGACTATATTTTAATGGATAAATACAATATATATTTAAATATGGTATGCCTTTCCACATAAGTTTATCATTATGTAGAAAAGGATGTTATAAAAGATATACCATATATAAAACAAGTTTCTCATTTACAACTAAAATAATTCAGTAGCATTTAATTATAATATGTCAACGCTACATTCTAGCAATCTAAAACTCATGCAGGTTTTCAAAAAAAATACATGGTCCAATTGTCAAAAATTAACTCTAAATGAAAAAGTACTTAAATAACAAAAGAGTCTAATTATATTGATATAACACTTCTTTGTCTCAAAAAACAATTCTCTCTTTGCCAAGCTGAATATAATAGTCCGTGAATTATAAGATCAAGCAAGCAAACTGTATGTTTTCTAAAATATGAGTATCCTTCATCAAGTTTTATACTTAGGGCAGCTAAAAGACCTATGTGGAGGGATCAGCATTAAGCCCAAAGGACAGGCAGTGCACAGCAAGAAAGAAAGAAATTCCCTCGTGTCTTTTGCAGGTCACTACCAAGGACCATGTTAGCAGATCCACACCAGACCCTTAACAGGCAGTTCTGCTGCTACCAGTAATTAGCTTGGACAGCTCTGGCTCCAAGAGTAGCAGCAAGGCTACACCATAATGAGCTCAGCTGGGATTAGCAGGACAGGGCAGGGAACCAAGAGAGCTCAGGCATTCTGCATTGCGGATGTATCTGGGAGATCAAACAAGGATGGCTGGCTAGGTTATCCCCTCTCCACCTCATTCCAAAAATGAAGCGCGGCAGTGTCTAAAACACGGGCTAATGAAGAGCGACACCTCCAACAGATGAGAGCCACATTAATTAACACAAATCTCTAGATCATTTTATACTGTTTCTATTAAAGCTAGAAAATGTGCAAGTTGTTATTGCATACGTGTGTGTGTGTGTAGAGAGAGAGAGAGAATAGAGAGAAGAGAGACAGAAAGAGAGAAGACACTTGTCTTTTTGATTGGTATTATTTTTACTGCCAAAACAGATTATTTCATTTTTAAAGTTTTGTAAGGTATTTCACTAGTAGTCTTTAAGCCACAAAAATTGCTGCCAAATGTTTACATACGTCCTTATTGTTTAAAAAAAAACTCACTTTTGAATCATTAGCTCCTGGTTCTCCCTTTTGAAATAAGCCAGTTCATTCCATACAGCATCGGAATCTTCTTGTTGAAGTTGTTGGGGTTCTGCTCTCTGTAATTTTCTGGTATCAGTCCTATTTTTAAAATGGACTTGTTTTATTCTGAATTTGTACATTCTTTCAAATTTGAAAATACCTATGTAAAAATTTTGTCCAATTTTTAATTCAGGCTCACTACTTACTATAGATGAACTCCCTAAAACCTAAATATATAGAAATTAAAATTGGGGGCCAGGGATTTAACTCAGTGGCATAAGTGCCTGCCTGGCAAGCACTAAGTTGTGAGTTTGATCCCTGGTAGCCCCATCCCCTCCAAATTGAAATTCTCTACCATAATTTTCTAAAGCTAAACTGTCACTAAAGAAAACAAACTTTTAAGCAGATAAATGAAATTCTTAGGTTTCTCTCATTCAACCTGGAACCACCATAATAAAACATAGATTATAGAATTATAACATTCCCCAAAAAAGACTAGAAACAATCAACTGTCACACAGTCTGAATAAAGTATAGAGGCTCTAACCTAGAGCCCACTATTACTAGTGAATTATGTTAGAAAGTACATTACTTTTGCAGTGAGTACTGTAGTTAGGAGAGTACAGCCTATGGCTGAGTTGTTTTATCACTGCTTTTCTGACATACAGTATGAAGTACTTTCTGTTCATCAAAGGAAAAAAGATTATGTGACAATTGTTTGTACCTCCAAGTGATGGTAATGCCCTTTACATTTTCATTTTCCATATATACAACATACTCCTCATTTTTATTTTTTTAAAAGTGCTATACTGGCCCACTTAGAAACAGTATTTCTCTACAGAACAGACCAATGTGTATAATCAACACTGCCCTAAAGGATCCATCCTGAAAGATGAGAGTATAGTAGATTTTCTGTACTTATTCAGTCCTTTGCCCTTTGTTGATACTGTTAACAAGGGAGCCACTTAAAACTAACCAAGATCTGAACACCTGTTCAGAGCAATTGAACTGAGACCGCAGTTCATTCAGATAAGCTGGAAAACAAACTGATGGATAGTAAAGATCTTCAAATCACATACTAGGTTGAAATAGTTTTAAGATAACTATATATGTGAATTTCACTTTCTTGTTTTTTCAGTTAAAATGCAAACACCTTTTCAGTCATAAACATCTTAAACCTCAGTACTATATTTATTTAAAAGCAGTTTTTCAACTATATGAGTATCAGCTAATTTTGCTTTAAGGTATGTACTTTTAGTAAGCTATTCCATTGAAAGCAAATATGTGTACAATAATTCACACTCATCTACTGCTAATGACATCTGCAAATCAGTAAGATCTATAGTCAAGGCTAGCACATTTTGCTGGGGTTTTTTTTTTTTTTGTGGTGTTCATCACTTAAAAATTCATAGTAAAATTTGAATATCAAATAATTTCTTTAAAACTAAACAAAAGTCATTAAAACATCTATATAGTGTTCCTCCATTCCATTTAATATTTAGGGAAATGTCTTTATGAGCTATGTAACTCACATGCCACTGCCTTCTTCCCACTGTTTTAATTGCTCTTTTACTGCTCTGTAGTTGGTCTGTAACATCTGTAGCCTCTCTTTGCGTTTTTCATGGGCATCTCTTAGCTCATCATTTTCTTGGCTCTACAGAACACAAAAAATTAAGTATACAACTTTGAAGGAAGTACAGTGTTGATACAACATTTCAAATAAAGAGTTACCCATCTAAATAAGAAATTTGAAAAAAAAAAATAGTATGCAAAGATGAATGAATGCATTTGTGACAGTTTGCAATCAATAGAAAGGAAAGAATTCATCAAGTCATAGAACAGGCTTGCTTGATAAATTAAGCCCACTTACTGCATTTTTAAAAGCTGCTCGCAGGATTTCAAACTTTTACTATTTTAGCTTCATTTCTTTCCCTGCTGTTAATTTCTACACATAGAAATATTCATAAGCCTATTTAATGATATTTAATATTTTTCCTTTTCAACAACATAAGGATTTGTCATACATAAAGGATCATTTTGTAAAAATGTAAGGCTGTTAACCATAGTAGAACTAATTCTTTAGGACATGCATTCATAAAGCAAAACAACTACGTAGAAGGAATAAAGTAAACCTAGATATGTGTGAAAAGTAACCAAACTTCATCTTTAGATATTCTATTACAAAGAACTGATACAGGCTTACTATTATATTCTTTTTTAGTACTATATTCATAAAGGAATCACATAATACAGTGTCCAAATATGGCTTCTTATTTCAACATTTAGTTTGAAAGTTTTTCTCAATTACTTCTAAGTATATAGCATGAGGTAGATTTTCATTAGCAAATTTGTTCATTTAATAAACAAACTTACAAAGGCCAAATTCATGGTCTACAAGCGATTTAGTTATGAACTGTTTCTCTAAGTAAAATTGTAATTTCTAGAGTTTTTCTACAATAACAATTTCTATTTAAAAAAATACTTTATTCACACTTCTATGACTGAACTTATAGGCTGATTTTCAGTGAGAAACACATACTTTGTAAGCAAATAAGCTCTGACTCATTAGTGTTAGTCGTATAACTTAAGAACACTTTCAAATTGCTTCAATCTATTTGTCTGTCAAATATGGAAAAGAAAACAATGTTTAAAAGGGGGAAAGGGCCTGGCACTGTATGGCCTATAGAAGCATAAAACAAAATTTAGCTGTTTCACTCTCTGCCTCCTTGGTATTAACAGTGATGCCTACAACTTTAAGAAATTACTATCGTCTTGACTATTTACCTCTAATGTGGCTAGTAAAATAATACTCTCTACATAGCATGTATTTTACTATATTTCTATCTGCCTCACCAGTATGGGTATTTTGTCATTCTACTTTGAATATATTTGTAATTAAATTCTCAAGAAGTTACTAGGATATATTTAAGTCCCATTTTGCTAAAAAATTGTTTATATGTTATATTGGAACCCAGATATTTGATGAAAAAATACAAGAAAGGCATAACCAGACAGAGGCATTCAAAGTAAATGTCACCTCTAAAGAATTTTACAAGATATGCAGTCACAGCTGCAGCAAAGTTGCTAAAAACTAACATGGTTAAAAATATGAAGTAGAAGTAAAAATTTAAAAATGCAAGTTGAACTTTGCTCATCTTAACTGAAAAACCATGTAAGAATAAATAGGAAGTGTTCTTAAAAAGCCCAAACATTGGCACTCAGTTGTTAACTTTTATTTTGAGAAAGCTGTTTAAAATCAGTATTTCAGTTTCTCCATCTTCAGACTAGAATGTATTTATATATCTCTCCCCTAAAAGTATGAAGAATGATTTGAACTTAAATTTCAATTTTTCATATTGTTTGGTGAACAATCTAAACATTACTTCACTTCTTTGAACTTTTATAAAGGCTCTAATTTTAAGTATGTGAAATAAATGAATAATTTAGAAAACTAGAAAACTAAGACTATTTATATCTTGTTCTAGGTGCCAAAGATACTGCAGTTATCTTACAGGATTCCTTAAGAATTAAAAGATTTATTAAGACTCTCATGCCTTCAGAATGCTGATATCAAAGTATAATTAATATAGGAAATTAGTCCAAGAGTTTAGTCCTACTTCAGAAATACACATTAAAATGTACAAAATATATATATGGCAGACTTCAAAAATCCACATTTTAATATGGTAAGATCAGATGTCAGCTGAAGTCAACTTTTAAAAATTGGTTATTTCAAAAGAAATATTTTAAAAGAATAACCAAAATATATTTTTATAATCTCACAAATACAAGCTACTGTGGTTAAGATCATGATTCTAACAAATCTCAATTGACATAAAGTAGCCAATACTAAATAGTATTTGCTTTCAGAAATATTATTATTGAAGGGGCTGGGTATTTAGCTCAGCGGCATAAGCGCCTGCCTTGCAAGCAGGCAGTCCTGAGTTCAATCCCTGGTACCGGTAAAAAGGAAAAAAGACCAAAAAAAAAAAAAAAAAAAAAAAAAAAGAAATATTATTATTGAAGACCTTATTATAAAATCAAATATAATGAAAGATAAATGTATTTTATAACACTATTACTACACTTTCTAAAACACACATACAAAAATATTCCATTGGTTATCACTGAATGACATTTATTCATTAGATAAATGAAATATTTACTGATTACCTTTTATGGATTTTAATTAAAAGAGTTAACTAGAGGCTCTGATGTATAGTAAACAAGTCTGAATTATTAAAACATTAGAAAATTGGCTGGGATTTTAGCTCAGCAGCATAAGTGCCTGCCTTGCAAGCAGGCAGCTGTGAGTTCGATCCCCAGTACCGATAAAAAGTAAAAGACGCCCACCCAAAATTAGAAAATAGAAAATTATATCAACTGTCTTTCCTCAAAGATATCTGAAATTTCAATTTCTGAGTTCATAAGAACAGAAATGATTCTTCATCTAATACTCTGGTTGGGTCAGAAGCACCTTCAGAGTAAAGCAGTGAGTGACTCACTTTTTAGGGAAAAAAATCAATGTAATCGAGAAGTGAAAAAAAAAAATTTAGAAAAATGTTAAAAAGTTTACGTATAATATTAAAGTACTGAAAAAAACACAAATTAATTGTACTTAACACAAAGATTAATGTTATTCAATGGCACTGAAAATGTCAACAGAATCAAGTTACAGAGATGCATAGCATTAATGATTTCAAAAATTGAAAGAATTTCATAAAGTTCTCTGATGTACAGGTTTCCTCTAAATTATTTCTTTTATAAATGCACCTCATTTATGAAATCAAGATTATGGGTGCAATTTTTTTCTAAAAATGGATTCCATTTTTTATACTATTTATTTATTATGTCTTTGATCACCCATTCTAAAATACAATAACTAGCTACAAAAGCAGAGCAAGATAATATGTTAATATTTATATAAAATTCATCACTAGCATTAGAATAATTTAATACATATAACTCACTGCTGCCATAATGGAACAGTGATGGCAAAACTATGGCATCATGCCTCAGCAGGCTGTTTGAATGACTAAAGCTCTCAATGGTTAGTCATCACTCACAGAACATCCTCCCCAAATTTTCTTAAATTTTATTTGAAAGAGAAAAAATTTCAAAACAAGGTAATAGGAGACTAGCAACAGTCAATACATTGGCTATTATTATCTTCAGAGTAGTTACTCAGAGTATAAGATGTAGGAATGATAAACTATAAAACAATGTTTACACAAACCTTTTCAAAGAACTGAGAAAAATTAGCAGCATAACTTAAACTATCATATATATATATATATATTTTTTCCCTTTCTTCTTTAGTCAGTTCCCCTACCCCGGTTTCCCTTCCTTTTTGAACAATTTCTTCCCATTTGACAATATTATACATTTTGTATTTTATTTACTCTTTCAGATTCTCACACTAGGGAGACCACTATGTTCACACTCATGAGTCTGATTTATTTCACTTATGAGTATGGTCTCAAGTTGCACCTACTTATCTATAAAAGTCCAAAACATTCATTCCTAATAAAAACTCTACGGAAAATTGGAACAGGTGATCTTTACCATAATCTTATAAAATATATCTATGACAAACCAACAGTTAATATTAGATTAAATGGTTGAAAACTGAAAACTTTCACTCTAAAATCAGAAACAAGATTGGGATGTCCACTATCACCATTTTTATTCAGTAGATTCTGGAAACATTAGCCAAAGCAATTAGACAAGAGAAAAAAAATAAAAGGGATAAATAAAGGAAAGGAGGAAGTTAAATTATCACTGTTTGCAGATGACATGATACTCTATATAGAAGACCCCCAAAACTCCACCAAAACACCTGTAGACTTAACGAAATTCAGCAGTGTAGCTAGATACAAAGTCAACACTCAAAAATCAACAACATTGCCATATACAAGGAACAAAGGCACAGTGAGAGAAATCAGGGAAACAACACCCTTTACAATAGCATCCAAAAAAATGAAACAGAATCAATCTAACAAAAGAAGCAAAAGATCTATATACTGAAAATTACATTATTCTGAAAAAGGATCAAAGAGGCTATCAGAAGATGGAAAGATGTCTCTTGCTCATACACAGGAAGAACCAACATAATGAAAATGGCCATACTTCTAAATTGTTATACAGATTTAATGCAATCCCAATCAAAACACCATTAGCATGCCTCACAGAACTGGAGAAATCATTCCTAAAATTCATTTGGAACCAGAAGAAATCTAGAATACCAAAAACATTCTAGGCAACAAAGGCAAGTCAGGGTACATTTTAATCTGTGACTTGAATGTACATTACAAAGCTACTATAATAAAATCAGCTTGGTATTGGCAAAAAGAAAGAAGAAAGAAAGAAAGAAAGAAAGAAAGAAAGAAAGAAAGAAAGAAAGAAAGAAAGGAAAGAGAAAAGACAGACCAGACTGGAGGATCAGTGAAACAGAATACAGATACAGATAAAAGTCCATCCCAATTTTAGTTTACCTGAGTAATCAAATTTTCATCCTACAAATACCTATTGTGCCATGGAATGTTTCTTTTCTTTTCAGTGTTTCCTATGATACGTTTCATGGAACAACAACCTCTTGCAAAATATTGATAGGTATAACATAACCAAATAAATTACAAAAGATATATCTATGCTTTCTTTGGTTTTTTTGTTTTTGTTTTTGTTTTTGTTTTGTTTTGTTTTTTGGTACTGGGGATCGAACTCATGACCTCACGCTTGCCAAGTAGGTGCTTATGCCACTGAGCTAAATCCCCAGTCTGCTTTCTTTGCAGATTTACAATGCAGTCATATGTTAATGGCTCACCAAAAAAAAGAACATTTTTAATCCATTGTGTATAATAATCATTTCACCATGGAATGTTTTTGTCTACCATGCTCTTACTAGATTTGGGTACAGCAGTGTTCTATAGAAAGCAAAGATGATGACCAAAATTCAACATGTATTAGTGAGTAATGGTCTATAAAAAGAATAGCAAGGTTAATAATTTTTTTTAAAAAATCCAAAGATAGATACAGATTTAACTGTGCACCCTGCCCTTCCTTCCCAGAAAAGAAGTATGTTAGAGTCCTAAACCCTGCTACCTCAGAAGGTTATCTCCTACAGAGATTTTTATGGAGGCAATCAAGTTAAATGGGGTAATAGTTGGGCCCTAATCGAGTATGATGAATATCCTTACAAAAATCAAAAATTTAGACATGTGAAAGAGCTATGCATAGAGGAAGACAATACAAAGACTAAGAGAATGCCATCTATAAGGCAGGGAATACCTTAGAAGAAGTTAAAAGAGCATGCAATTGATTCCTGATTCCCCCTCACAAGACTCAGAAGAAACGAACTCTGTTGACGGCTTTTAGACTCTTCAAATCTTCATAAATTTGAGACAATAAATTTCTATTCTAAGTCATCCACTATATGGTACTCCTTTACAACAGCCCTAGGAAACTAACATAGACAGATTATCATCATGCTAAATGTGGGTTCTACCTGTGAAACATATCCTCAGTTTCAGACATATTATTATCCATCTCATTCTTACACACATTTGAGTAATACTAGTAATATTAATATTATTATTGCATAATAACGGGGACTGTAGAACTAGGTCTTGTATTTCCACTAAATATGTTACCTTTACCAAAATTAAACTATAAATTAAGCACTATGAGCTCACTCTTCTTGGAATTACTTTAAAATACAGGTTTTTGTTTTCTTACTTCTTTTCCTAAGTGCCCTTGACTGTAGTCCCTGTTTTTTTCCCTAAAATAAGGAATCTAACAGATGACAAAACACAAATTTTTCTTCATTTTGTAAATCTGTAGATGACATAAATTGAAATTTACCATGATCACCAATTGACTTAAAATTTGAGTATAGAAAAAATTTTAATCAGTGAAAAATAATTTTACTTTAAAAATAAAATTAGGGCTTCTATAAAGATTGTGGTCAAGAAAAATGAATGAGCAAATAAATGAATGCAATCCTGAACCTCTTTTTGAAAAGAAATTTAAGAATAGATCTAAAATGTCTTTGAATTGTTTTTTTTTCCTGAGAAAAATAATGGACCATTAAGGACGTGCAGATCTCTGGAAACAAAATGACAAAGAACTTCTATTACTAAATTGTATATGTGATAGTTAACTTTATGGGTTAATTGACAGCCCAGATTTGCATAAACATTATTTTTGTTTCTGGATGAGATTATATTTTAATCAGTGGACTGAGTGCTATGGTTTAGATATGGTTTCAGCATGGACAAGGTTGTGGGCATGGTTCATGCACAGAAATTTAATTCCTCTTGTGAAGTATTCAGAGGACAGAAACTTAATCTGACTAGTATGGTGTTTAGAGAGGTGAGATTATTAGCGTATAATTCCATGATTAAATCTCAGTGGCTTTATAATATGAGGTACACTGAAAGAAGAGTTACATGTACAATCATACTCTGTGTCCTATCTTGTACTGCTTCAGGACTCTGTCAGCAAGAAGTCTATCACCAGACATGGCCTCTTAATCCTGTACTTTTAAAACCATGAACTAAAATAAACCTCTATGATTTATAATTTAACCAATCTCTGGTACTGTGTTACTGCAAAACCAGAATACACGTAATACTGCAAGTAAAGCAAACTGTCCTCCCCATTGCAGCTGAGCTTCCACCGATCTGTTGAAAGCCTAGGTAGAATAAAAGCTGAGTAAAAAAGGATTTCTTTATCTCTGCTCAACCGCCTTCAAGCTGGGATTACAGGTCTTGTCTTTGAACTGAAACTCTAATTTGAATTTGGGTTTGGATCAGTTCTTATGGTTCTACAGCCTTTGGGTTCAGGTTGGAATAGTAACATTGGCTCTTCTAGATACTAGCTTCCTAACTATAGTTTTTGGGTTCTAAGACTTAACAATTCTGAGTCAATTCCCTGTAGTAAATCTCATTTTAATATACATATGGAACACATGTGGTTTTGTCACTAAACCCTATCTTGCTCTAAACACATATGTCAATATTTTTTCTCCTAAGAATTATCTATAGTTTATGACAAAGCATCTAAGTTATAGGGCTGGTAAAAGGCTTGCTCAGCACGTGCAAAGCCCCAGTTCAACTCTTAGTCCCTCATACACTAACAGTGTATAAAGCATTGGATTTGTCACAAAATACCAAACTATTGTGAATAATATGATATAGTGAATAAAACTATCTCAGCTACTTATAATAATATGACTGAAATTCAAATAAAGTAGGGCTTTGGGTAACTGGGAATGAAGAATGAAAAGTTGTCCATATTGCAGTCAGAGGCCAAAAAAAAAAAGCCTTCAGAAGTTAGGAAAACAGCTTAGTAGCAGACCACTTGCCTATCAGGTACAAGGTCCTGAATTTAATACCATGTACCACAAACAAAATTTATTTCATTAGATTAAAAAGAAAATCAATACAGCCATATAAACTTGTCTGAATACACACGAACAACTCGGCCTGTTAAGGAGAATTTAAAGTAATTAGAAAGTATAGTTCTCTCAAATACAAACAGCTGAAGCATATACTTCTAAAATCGGGGTAAAGTGCCATTCAAATTTCAAATGTTCGGAGACAAATTCAAATGTGAAAAATTATGTATATTTATTTGCCACTTTGACTATGTAATATTTATAAAAAGGGTAACTATAGGTGATCTAAGCTAAATTATTATGATTTTAATCCACTTTTATCTGTATGTTTATCATTTACACAAAAAATGAGAAATACTTTTACTTGCTATAGTTGTTTTTGTTCCCGAGAAAATATAAGAAATTTATTCCCAATTTCAAGTCAAAGTATTTCCAAATAATTTGAAAGTAGTGATACTTAGTTTTCAAGTAGCAGATTTTTTTATTGCATCATAATCCTCTGAAATCTTAAAATCAAGATCAACTGGTTACATATTTCCATACAGGTAATTAAAATCAGGAAAGAAAAATGACAAGCAGTCATTTGTGAAGCACATGTTTACTTTGGTGTATTTTTATCTTTGCATGGTTACTACTAAAGAAATGATTTAACGTTCACCTTTAGTTGTAGCGCCTTCTCTAAGTTTTCAATCTTTCTTTCAGCTCTTCTCAGCTTCCTTAGTTCCTCTGAATCTTTGAAAGAGCTCTTTGGGGACAAAGACCTTGAACGTTTCACAGGTGGTTCCTTGAGAATAAAACAAGGACACAGTTGAACTAGTTGAAACACTGGATTATGAAAGACATGCAAAATTAAAGAACAAGTAATTTTGAATACTAATAATGAATTATAAAAAAAATCCTGCATGGAATACTAGAGAAATAACAAGCGGAATTACCACAGTGCTACCGCTAAAGGTTTCTCTGTGACTCCTTAATGAGAATATTCATTTACATTTACATTGTTTCTTTCAGAATAATGATGTCCCATTAGGGAAGACTAAAGGGTTATAGACTCAGAAATGCAAGAAACCTCATTACAAAGGAGGGGATAGAGGCTGGTCTAATTGCTCTATAAGGGTCCAAGGTTACACTTGATAGGACAACCAGAAACAAGAGGGAAAGGATTTTTTTTCCCTTTGAAATAGTTTAACACACTGTGAAGTTGAAGGAACAATATGCTTGAGGAATATAAATACAACAGACTGTAGATCTTATACTATAATGACCATATGGTCATTAACTATAATGTGGTTAACTAGAGACCAGAATGTGTGTTTATATTATGTACAGCTTCATATACCAATCTGGAAAAGGAAAATGTGAAAGCAACAATTAAGCTGGGAAACAGTGTACATCGTTACTGTATGTCCTTACAAAAAAGAAACTTTTGTTCAAAACATGTCTCTCCTTTTCTCAACTTTTATTAAAAGTAGTGAAATATCAAAGTATTGCATTTTAAAATTTCAGCAACACAGCAACATTGTATTTTACTTTAGCAACTGAATTATATCTTGTATTTTAACTTCAAAATGTTTCTTTCATTTAAATAAAGCTTATAAAGCTACAAAATGGCAACAAATGGATAATAATTATGTTTTAATACAAAATAAAACATTTCTCTGAAAATTCCTAGTAATAGTATAGGAAGTAATAGCAATATAGTGTAAAAGTATCAATGAAACATGAGTCTAATTTTAAGTTGTTTCTTTACTGATAGTTTTTTTTACAGTAAAAAAAGGGAAAAAATCAAAAACAATTATCTCCAAAAACAGTTTTTCACATATAAAATATGCTACTGCTAATGTAACAAGTATAAGAAAAACAGATTTATAACTCTATTAGGGAAATGTTATTTCAACTTATCTAGAAATATTACATTTAAAATATCATGGAATTTTAATATAATCAGTATTTATAGACTCTTTTGCAGCATACCACACATGATTCTCTGTTACTAATATACTCCTTTGTAATCTACACACAATACGTGTACAAATTAATGTTAAAATCCTATTAATATTTTATATTCCCTATAGACAGTAATTTAAACTATCTTTAGGGAATATAGGATGAACTACAATACTAGATTTTAATTAAAATTAGAAAGTAAATAGGCAATATCATTTTAAAATGATTTCTTAAGAGTGAAGAATATATCAGATAGATATACAAGGAATACTTAAATCATTTTACTATCAAATTAATTAACTGGCAAACAAATATACTAACAATACATTAAATTAATTAATTTAGGGAAATATCACTTGGTCATAAAAAAGGAAAATTTCCTACTCCTAGGAGGTATTTCACCAAAATTTTGGAACATATTCTTTTTTAATTCACAGAGAAGTAAGCAGAGTAGTGCATTACTGCCTTTTTCGGTTTCATCTCTTGCTTTGCCAGTCTTATCTTACCAAATTTACAAAATGACAAAATGTTTTTACCGTATATTTTCCTTCCACAGTTGTCATTATGCTCTTCTCTGAAAAAGTCTTGTTAGCTCTGTTCTCAGACAGCTTTTCATTTGCTACTTTCAGTTTCTTCTGTAAATACTCAATCTCAGACTTCTGTGACACCATTAATGTTTCCAAGCTTGACAATGGCGGATAAGATACCTGTTTTTAAAAGTATAACTATGTATCTTTGTATGTCATACTAGTTTAGAATAAATGCAAACATTTATATAGAGTATATAAAACATTAGTAATCAGAGAAATTTTTTCAATTTTACCAATAAAATATAAATTACAGGGGTGAGGAGTATAGCTCTCAGCAACTATTTTTATTTGTATATGTAAATATTTATATACATTATATAAATCATCAGTGATCAAGAAAAAAATTCTATTTTAACAAAAAACTACAAACTACAGGGTCTGGAACATAGCTCAGTGGTAGAGCACACACTTGGTATCACAAGCCCTACTCCTATCCAAAGTTTCATTAATAAATTTATGAAGGCTATATCAACATTCTGTCATTCAATATATAAATTTTTCATAAGTCATTCAAGATAAAACAATAATGCACAATAAAGAGAAATATTTTAGTTTACTAGTATATCCAATAAGCAATGTAGTATTCTTTAAAAAACGAATTTGCTAAGTCATAAATGATTTACAATACTATAGTTAGGAATACAAAAAATATTTAGTCAAGAAACTACTGTGATAACTCAAAATTTACAATATTAAAGATGTTCCAATAACAGATATAAACACTGAAATCACAACATTTTTAATGCTATTTGCTTTTATTATTATTTCAAACAATAAAAAATATTTATATAGCATTCTTCCAAATTTCTCAATAAACATCATCAAGACTGAAGTACTAGGAGAATAGTGATAACTCAAATTCATATAGGAGCCAGGAAGATAAAGTAAATTAAAAAAAATGGGATGTATAAGTTAATTTAAAACAACAGCTTTTAAATTAACTTAATACAAGCATTTGTATTAGATGTATTCATTTCCACAAAGTTGCAATGTTTGTATTTTCTTTAAATGTTTTACTTCCTCGACTTTTATCACTATTTTTGGCTATAGATAAATTATTTCTTAACATACTCATTTTTTTCTTAAGTATGAACAACATGACTTGTCAACATTCAATTATTTTGTTAAGCAATAAGTGTATCTGTGGCTACAGCTAATCAACTCTAGGCAAGTCTTTTTATAGAGAAATACAGGCCTTATAATGCTGAATATTCTAATGTTTCAAGAAATGCAATATATAAGAATTTCTAAGGAAAATCCACGAATGTTCAAATACTGGTTGGGCCCAGTTTATGACTTATGTACATTGAAAACAAGAGATGGAAGTACACACATTGCATTAAAACAAATCCCTGAAATATTTCACTTTTATTTCTATCTGCAAGGATTGTATGTGAATTATATTCTCCATACTTATTTGAATTTCCTTAAATTTACTTACAATGAGCATGTCAGTAAATGTGCTTCAAAATTTTAAAAAAATTCTTTTCTGGGGCTGGGGGTTTAGCTCAGCGGCATAAGCGCCTGCCTTGAAAGCAGGGAGTCGTGAGTTCGATCTCCGGTACCGATAAAAAGGAAAAAGATAAAAAAAAAAAAAAAAAAAAAAAAATCTTTTCTACAAAAAAAGATCCCATAAAATCCCACAGTACAATTTCCAGTTTATGTGTGTAAAATTAAATGAAATATTGTTCATAATATCATTCCTCAGAAGTTTCTGAGCTCAGATTGAGATATAGCTCCCAGAGTGAAAGTGGTAGGGTATAATTTGTCCTTTAACCTGCTTTGTTAATTAATGGATGTTCATTTTTAGAACAGTTTTATATACACAGAAAAATTCAGCAGATACTAGAGTTTTCCTATCCCCCACATCTGCTCACTTAGTTTCCCCTATCACATAAACATCTTAAATTAGTATGGTATATTAAATCTAAGGAATTAATCAACATTCACATATTATTTTTACTCCAGTCAGCAGTCTATTCAGATTTCCTTCAGTTTTATTTCAAATTATTATTCTGTTCCAGCAAGGATATAATATTAGTACACTTAACTGTCATAGTCACTTGGGTTACTCTTACCTGACAAGAACATCTTTAGAGTAAAATGATAAATTCTAACACAGTCAGGTGATCAAGGTTAACATCTTCAGCCTTAAATTAGGTTAACAGCATATTCTTTTATTTTTGGTAGGGTTCACTCCTTTAGAATTTGGTAATTGCACTTAGGTTATCAGTTTTGGAAGAGATGGAGTATCATTTTCTTTATGCCATATCAATTGTACTATATTAGTCCATTTTCCATTGCTATAACAAAATACCCAAAGATACATACTTTATAAGAAGAAAGGTTTACCTGGTACACAATTTTGGAAAGTGAAACCCCAAGCAACATGATGCTAGCCCTGGAAATGGTCTATCCAGCTACGTCACATACGGTAGATGGCATCATAGAAGGAATGCACAGGAGAGGGAGAGATCTCATGATGAGACAGGAAACCAGAGCGAGACAGGATTCAAGTTTAACTTTTTTATTCAGAACACAAGGAATTGAGGAGGGTACCCTGCAAGAACTACACCAATTTCTCCCACGGGTAGCATCTTTAAATGATCTAACTGTATCTTCCTAGGCCCTACTTCTTAAAGACCGTAATACCTCTTACCATTGTTATGCTATGAACCAAGCTTCCAACACATGAATACTTGGAGAACGAACACCAACCAAAGAGTAGCTTATCCTGTGAACCCAATTTATGACTGAAGATGTTAACCTTGACCACCTGGCTGAGGTGGAATTTACCAGCTTAATCTAATGTAAAGATGTTCGCAGTCAGGCACGGTGGTATACACAGGTAACTGCAGCACTCAGGAGGCTGAAGCAGGAGGACTACCACAAGTTCTAGGCCAGCCTGGACTACACAGGGAGTCCACAGCCAGACTGAACTACACAGCAAGATTCTGTCTAAAAACAACAACAACAACAAAACAAAACAAAACTTTTCTGTCTCTGTCTCGACTCAGCTTTAATCTACATTTTAAAATTTAATAATCTTAAAAATACAAGCATGTAATTATTATATGGATAATAAATAGAAGTTCATTCAAATTTTCTTGCTAATAACATTTTAAATTTTTTTAAAAAAAATTTAAAAATCTAGTGCTCCTTTTTGGTTTGCATTCTTGGAATACACTGACATGGTAGTAGGCTATAATTAATAAAATTAGAAATGATAAGCAGTGTATATAGGTTCCCAGTTGGTAATAATCATTATTAATACATAATTTGTTTTGTTTTGTTTGGGGTTAGGGGTTAAAATGAGGGGTTCACACATGTTAAAAACATGCTCTACCAATGAACCCCTAAAACCTATATAACATTTTTTGCACAGGAGAGGGAGAGATCTCATGATGAGACAGGAAAACACTGACCCCTTAGCTAATTTTGGTTAAAAAGTCTTATAAAAGACATAACAATAGAAATGGTGTTGGGGAGGGGACATTTAAATATGACAACCACTATTTTTAAATTATATAACAGTTCAGATAACATTATCACAGTCATTATTGGAGTGTAAAATGATTGTACATTGGCTGATATATAGAAAACAATTTCACAGCTATAATACTTGGAAAGATTGTTAAGTTAAATTGTTTTATCTTTATTTCAAAGTTTTAATTAAATATATTTACTTCCCCTTATATTTAAATAATAGCTCCTTATATAAACTAGCAATTAATGAAAAGCTATTTAGTTTGGAATATATCATTGATTTGAGAAATTTATAAATTCCAACTCTGTTAACACATATTTTACTGCAAAAGGAAAGCACTGAAAATGGATATGATCTCAAAATTAATTGTTCCCCCTAAAGCAACATTTCACTGAAAATCCAGTATAGTTCAAATATGGTATATAAAATCTATGTGTGGAGGAGCATATAAAATATCTAATATATAAATAAGTATTTAACTTGAATGACTATTTTAAAAAACAACTATACCCTTTTAAAAGACAGTATAAATGTATATTTTGTATATCATATATGCTCTATATGTCATGTTATTTTCTTCTCTCAAAATACCCAAATCTCTGCACAAATTTAATATTCATTTAAAATTGGTTTAAGAAATGTGTAAACATATACACTGCCAAGTGATAAAACCAACTTTATTAGCTGAAGTATCTACAATCTGAAAATGGATAACTAAACAACAGTCATATATTCTTGAGAGAAAAAGGAGGGGGATTAAAACAGTATCAAATAAACATGGTATAATAAATCAAAAGTCTTATCACAAAAATTCACAAATTATATTAGTGTACTAACTTAAAAATGTAACTTACTTTCAGAAAGATTACCAGAATGGGTATAAATTTTTTACTACCAAAAATATAGCTGGTACTCTTTTTAAAAATACATATATACCCACATACTTTTAACCAAAATATTCTCAATTTGCATTGAGATTATAAAAACAAAAATAATTGACTACATGTAGGTAAAATTTTAAGAATCACCATCTTCTCTCATAAATACTCTGCAAAGCACATGCTGTATAGCAAAATTCAGTACTGTAGTTAATTCAATTCAAATTTTCTTGCACATAGCAACATAAAAAGGAAATTTTTAATTTTATAATTTTTAACTCCATCCACACACTACATAAAACAACACTACATGGGCAATATATAGACACTTTATTGCCTACACTCACACCCAAAAGGTAATGACAGCAGTTTGGATAGGAATCTTAAACAACCACAGAAGTATTTATTCTGTTACTGTAAGTATCAAACTGCAATGATAAAAATTGGGGTAGTATTTATATGTTACAGAAGAGTGGTTAGTGTTAACTCCACTAAATATAGTGACCACTGATTCCAATCCAGAGTAAATTAATACTGGACATACTTAAATAATCAGGAAGAAATAATGATTTTCCTATAGAATTATGAACATATTCATATTTTTCTAAAACATAAGCCTTTCATTGTAGCAAATCTGTGATTTGAACACATAATGTGCATATTAATCCTAATGTAAAATGAATTTCTACATTTATGGAATTAAATTTCCTCTAGGTTTATCTCTAAATATGTCACATTTGGGTATAATCCAT